TTTTTGCTCACCCTAATGGGCATATGGGCATTTATAAACTAAATTTAACTAAATTTTGGGTGGAGACTCCACCAGTAGATATACTGGAGGCGAAATTAAAAGGTCAGTACAATGTTCATATAAACTTTTCAATCATTGGCGAGAAACTATTTGTATTTTTGTATTGCTATATTAAAATATTTTTTAAATTCAGTATTATTTTACAATAAGGGCACTTTATTTTAACGATTGCATGACTTGTGACTAAAAACTTGTTGCTAACTTCAGCCCGCCATAAAGCCACAACTTGTCAATGTGTATTTAAAAGGTCACTTAGTGTCATGGAAAATGTTATTATTTTTTTAACACTTTATGTCTATTTTGACTTTTCTTTAAATATTTTCTTTGATTTATTAATTCATTTGATCTTCCAATAATATATTTATTATATATTCTATTACCCTCTACTTTTTACAAACATGTAAATATTTTTACACTAATAATTCGGTTTCATAACCTATGTTTATTTTATTTATACTACTTTTTTTTTAATTTTAACCATGCATTATATGGCAAATGGCTGCAGCACAGACCTATTTTTATATAATATATTATATTTCAAGCATGCGTTGTAAAAAAAATGTTTTAACTTATTTAATCTGTTTTAGGTTTTAAATATTTAATGGTAAGCAGTTTAATTAGTTGGTGCGTCTCCAATGTTGTCCTTCCAGATTCACAAAGTCACTTATATTTCAAACTGTTTCATAAAGAAAGTGCAACAAAACAAATAAAGCTAAAATATCATCATGACAGTTGAACCTAAACTAAAAATAATGTGAATATTAATTTAATTAAAGGCTAGCTCATAAGCTAGTATTTTTTTCAAGCCTTTAATTAAATTATTTTTTACTATAGTAATTGTTTCGCTTATAATGTATGCTTGGCTATACTTAATATGTGCATAACATAAATTATATAAACAAATAAGAAATTTCAAAATTTATTTTTTATTTTATATTTTTATGTTTACGGCACTGTGTCTTATTCTTTAAAAGCCAAAAGTGTTCTAGACCACAACTGCAACATATAAAACAATAAACCCATTTTTAAGCAGTTACTTTCAACTTGTAAGAAATATACAAATGTCTTCCTAGTTGAACACCACAATGAATATAGTTGAAAAGTTAAAATAGAAAACTAGCGAATTCTCCAACATGAGGAAGTAAATAAATTGAACGTCGTTTTATTGTGAACGATAATATTTATATTAATGTTTTTTAAAAATGTGCAAGCTTTTTTGTGTGGCCATATCGTTTCATTAATCAAAAATATAGATGTGTATTACAAACACCATTTGCAGTAAAAAATAGCTCCCCAATGCTACACTGACGACCAATCAATAAATTTTATTCACAAATAAAATAAATTTATCAAAATTTCTTGGACAACGGGCTTTATCGAGTGAAAAAATATCCATTATACATTAACATTTTGGACAAATTTTTTTTTGAAAATAATTTTTTTCAGTTTTTGTTCATTTGTCATTTTGTTTTAACAAAATAATGTTAATATCAAGGTAGGTAGAAAGCTTTTGAGAATTTTCCATGGTGTATGTTATGTATATATTAATACCTATTATTAATTATATTATAATTATAATTATACATATATGTATATTAATTATAAATTATGTATATTAATCATATGGGTAAATTTTTTTACAAAAGATTTTATACTGGATGTTTATATTTATTTAAATAAAAGTATTAAATATAATTTTTAATGACGTTTCAAAAATAAAAAGTTACATATGCTACATGCCTTGTTTATTATACAGAAAGTAAGAATACAGCGTTAATAAGTTTTTTACAATTAAATGCTAAATAACTCGAAAAGTGCTTGTTGCTATAACGTGGGTTTATCATTTTCGGAACAACCTGTATATTAAATAAAATATTGTTAGGAAAATAATATAAATAATTTTATTACATTCACAATATTATTTCAAGCCTAAATATATCATGCCAGTCTGAGGCGTAGCGTAAGTTTGATTTTCATTAAAATGTCGAATTTTTTAAAGATTTTGCAGTCTTTTGAATCTTAAAATACGTTAGATTGATTGCCAATCCCAAAGTAGTTATTTAGTGGATTTTTTGTAAAGTGACCCGTTAATAAAGTTCATTATTATAATGATTTATAATGATTTGACTTGCAGCGTTCTTGTAACCTTGATATACATGCCTACTAATATCTGAACCTATTTTTTATATAAATCTCAGCCATTAATATCAGGGCAGGATTATCCTACACAGTGGTCCTCGACTAGCCATGGGTTTTATGAAAATGGCGCCAAAAAATAGGTTCAGATATTAGTAGGCATGTATATCAAGGTTACAAAAACGCTGCAAGTCAAATCATAGCTGATCATAAAAATATGTTTTTGTGATACTATTATTTATGTTTACATTTGACCATTGTTTTAAATTAATTTAAAGAATTGGTCACAAAAGTTTACATATAGGTTCATTGATAAGTTGGCACTGAAATATTTGATTAACTTAAGCTGACAACTGACAATTGTCAGTTGTCAGCCTAGGTTTGGTCTGGGGTTCTCAGTTACTGTTTAAAACACAAATCTAATAATTTTTGTCGGTTTTATTGTTACTTTTATGATAAAATGAACCCTATTGAAATTGTTAGCAACCATGAGCATAACAGCATGTGGGCAGAAAATTATTATGGGTAATACAAAATCGTCGAAATTTTTAATTACATAATCCTAAGTTTCCAATTTCAATTTCCATCTGCAATACTTGTCGCCATGGTATCCCAAAATTTAAAAGCCAATGTATATGTCCCCTAAATCCGAAAATACCGTCAAAAATTATGAAAGTGTAGCAGTTTTTGAGATATAGTCAATTCCATATTAAATGGAAAATTGACTATATCACAAAAACTGTTCTAATTTTTTAACTTTTGAAGACATTATCGGATTCAGGGGACAATTTTACATAAGAATTGGCTGGGCTTTCAAAGTCTCTTAAATTGCACGTCATTTTGAAACATATTACTCAATCTTTGCAGTTTCTTCAAGAAGGTAGACTTGGTTTATGGTCGGAGAAAGCAGGAGAATCTATTCATAGAGAGTTTGTCAAGTACTGGAACCGATATAAAATAAATCTCTTACAAGATCCTTGCTTTCAAATCCAGTTAAAGAAAGCTGTTGTTGAGTTCTCCTCTAGACATTTGTAACAAATATTGAGTATATGTGAATTTATTTTGGTCAATAACCTTTTCTCACTGTAAAAATAAAAAGTACTTTTTAAAAATTGTAGGAATCTAAAGGCTATGTAAAAATGCGAAATTGTTACATTCATAATATATACCTATCAAAATCCGAACTCATTTTTTGGCGCCATTTTCATACAACCCATGGCAAGTCTAGGACCACTGTGCCTATAGGGGCCCAAGGCTTGCGGGGGCCCTAGAACAAAAAATAAAAGCCGTTTTGTTAAGTGAAATGCCTAAACAACAAAATTAAATAATTTTACACATTATTATAACAGTTTAATGAAATTTTTATATTTTAATTTTTTATTCAGCGGTTTTTACCGGGAAATTCAGTTCCCTCTGGCGGATTTTCTTCCTGATGTAAACCCTAACCTTAAATTACATTTTCTCTCGTAAACAAGCATATGTATATGCACAATGTGGAGTGTGCATTTGAGTTTATGCATAGCTTATACTTAGTCGACTATTGACACGATCGTATAAATAAAAAGTTTATTGTAAAAATAAGTAACGTTCCAAGTGATGCAAAAAGCAAAAATTGCTAGAGAAGTCTATAAAAGCCATAGGAAATGTTGCAAAATTAAATACTTAAAAAAATACAAATGATGACGTCTGATTTTCCACATGATAATTTAGGAGAATATTTGAAAGGTCTTTAACCTATGTTTTTTGTTTAATTTTATGTTGAAGTGTCCCGGTTTATAACGTTATATGGCAACGTCTTTAATGGTCTGAATAGAGCCCTAAGTCATTTTAGCCTAGGGCCCTAGACATTGTTAATCCAGCCCTGATTGATATTTATTTCTTTTATAAAAGACACAAATTCGCATTTTTTAAACAGGGCAAACAATAATCTATTAAACAAATTCCATCAAATATATGACTTTTTAAAAGTTAGTCTCGGTTTAACAAAAATTGTAAAACTTGTTCTGTTGACTATCAATTTGATTGATGCCAGAATCACTTCAAATTGTAATAAAGTCATTAAACATGCAATAACGATTTGAGTTTTTCTTCAGGGCTTCATTATTTTCCCGACTAAAAAATCATTCAAATTTAATTTAGCAGCATAAAAATATTGTGTTAGTGACTAAAAAATTAAATTATAAAATTGCTGAGTTTCTGAAAAGTCTAATTGTCTATTTATTGTTTAAAATTGCAACAAATAGATCTTTCAATTATTTTCCATTAGAGACTGCGAATTTCCCAAATAATCTTAATACTACTATATTTAAATCAATTTACTGCTATTCGGCATTAGCTGCAGCTGCAGTCGGTATTAATCGACAGCTAATAACACTTTTGAAAATGCCGTAAATTTACAGAAAAATGAGGATTCGAATTCACTTTCGTATTTTCAATAACATGCACCGACAGACAGCCTGTTTCGGTCTTTTGGACCCCGTCAGTGCCGGGCAGTCATGCTCACTTTCATTGGAAATATTGTATTATAAGAACCTTGGAGCATTCAATAACTATTTTACACAATTAAACTGAAATTGAAGTTAGTGGTTTTGCTTTAGAACTGCACTTGCAGAGATACAATAAAATTCTCATTAAAAACAATTTCATAATAAATATTTACGTATGTATCTATGTAGGTACCTACAATAATAAAAAGATTGGTGGTCAAGGTCAAGTTAGATAAAAATAAATTGGCGCTATTATTTCAACCCAAGTAGCCAATTTTGTAATCTAGGCTGTTTCCTCTTGTTTAAATCCATGCAAATCTCTGATGCAAAAGAAGTAACTTTAATTGTGGCCATGTCGTTATAGTAAACATGTCTTTTCGGATTACCGTTGTGTTAATTTTCGGATTTTTGTTTGTTTTGGATACTTTTCCCTCTTTATATTGCAATGGTATGTTTTTATTAATCATATTTTCTTTTTGGTTATCACTGGGTTTTTTTTACCGACTTTATTGTAATTATTGATTATGAAGATTGCATTTTGCAATATTTTTTTTTTCAAATGTTTAGTCAATAAATTTGTTTTGATGTAAAATCTAGATAATATCCTGAAAAAAAAAATATGGAAAATGCAATAAAAAAAGTAAGATTTTTATATAAATATAAATTTATTAGAAGAATGGATACGTAATGCCCATTAATAATGAGCCAAGAAAAGCATGTTACGTATGAGCCATACTATCAAATTTAAATTTGTTTTGTGTGTTTTTGCTTAAAAAAAATTTTAAATAGTAAAATACAATGGTGTTTTTTTCTACATTTGGTAGTAAAAGTGGCAAGAAAGGGACTGGAAAACTCAAAAATCGCTTTTTATGCTACAAATCTATTTATAATTAGTACCTGTTAATTTAACAGTGTTAAATCGGTTCCTAAATTAACCAACATGAGTTTTTTAATTCAGAATTATATGGGAACCAAAAACAGCCTCATAAAATTCATTTCAAACCAAGAAAAGTTGATTTAGTGATTCTCAAAAACGGTTTTAAATTAAAAGGCAAATCAATAAAAAGCGTGATTTTTTTAGAGTGGATTTCATTTACTGGTGCTGAACATGTACTTGTTTTCAAAAGCGAATCATCAGATGCATAGTCGGTGTTCCACAGGATTTCTCATGTAGAGAACTATTTAAAAAAATTTAAAATATTGCCTGTACCATGTGTTCAAGTTTTGGAGCTAGGCTTATATGTATTTTTAAACAAAAGTAAATTCCTAATGATTCTGATATTCACAATTTTAATACCCGAAAGAAAAATGAATTAAGAACGCAATTTAATCGTTTAAATTTAGGTAAAAAGTCCCCGAACAGTTTAGGCATACATATATTTTACCCCTTTAGACATTAAAAATGCATATTTGTTGTCCAAATGTTCTTATGGTATAAGTGAATTTCTTTTAATATAGCTTTACTTCCTGTACCTAAGTTATTCAAGTTATTATTATGTATATATACCTATTTTTAATTGTATTTATGTTTGTCTATTTAACCTTGACGTTTTCTACACATGTATACATTGTATATGTCCTCTGAAATAACGCCTATTATTATTATTATTAGTATCTAAACTTTAAATTCAAATTAAATAACCACCAAATAAGATATCTTAAAAATATTTATTTTATATGAAATAACATTTAATGACATTATTGTTTAAAAATAATTTCGGACAAATGTCCTCCGTCAAGTTTGTTTATTGTTTAGTTAAGACAATAGATAGAGATATGTGCGATATGCATTTTGTTTATGGCGTTGCCCATTGAAATGCTGCAGAATTTATCAAGAAAGTTTTTCAAACCGACCGCTACCAAATGAAAGAACATTTATTCCTATTCACGAACGTGTGCAACAAACTGGAAGTTTACATAACAGCAGAAAATGGGAGACCGTGCCTGCTAAATCCTCAAATGGAAGAAGAAGTTTTACAAAAAATCGAAGAAAATTCAACAACAAGCACTAGAAAAATAGCTTCAAATCTCAACCTTAGTCACGTTAAAGTGTGGAGGATACTAAAAAACCAGATGTTATACCCTTATCACATACATCGGGTACAATCTCTTTTAATAAGGGATTTTCAACAAAGATTGGCTATGTGTCAATGGTTTCAAGAAAGGATTGCGCAGAAACATCGATTCTTAAAACAAGTTTTATTTACGGACGAAGCAAACTTTTCCCGCGATGCAATTATGAACTTCCATAATATTCATGTATGGGCCGACGAAAATCCTCATGTCTTAATGGAAGGCCATCATCAGCAACAATTTTCTCTTAATGTTTGGGCAGTTGTTGTAGGAGATCATTTAATTGGGCCACACTTTTTGCCGCTAAGGCTAACTGGTCAATTATATCGAAGTTTTCTTGAAAAAGAACTGCCAGGACTTTTAGATGACCTTCCGTATAAATTAAGAAACGATATGTGGTTTATGCACGATGGCGCTCCTGGGAGGAGCCTCCTGCACATTTCAGTTTAGTTGCGCGTCAGTTCTTAAATTAACGGTAAAGGAACCGCTGGATAGGCAGAAGAGGTCCACAGGCTTGGTCTCCGCGGTCTCCATATCTAAATGTTTTGGATTTTTTTGTGGGGCCACTTAAAAAGTTTAGTTTACACAACACCGGTTAATACTGTTGAAGAACTAAGAAATCGAATTATTGCATCCTGCAATACAATATGAAACACTCCAGGCATTTTTGAACGGGTACGTCAGTCACTAAGACGTAGGTTGGAAGCTTGTATTACTGTAGAAGGAGGGCATTTTTAACAATTGTTGTAATTTTTCTTATTTTTATGTTATGTTCTTAGACTAATAATCTTAGGTGTGTAAAATAAAACTCTTGTGGTAATGTGGCTACTTTTTTTTCATCATAAAATGCCGTTTTTCTCTAAAATGGTTCACGCTTGAGCTTTTGACCAAGAGTACCTTTTTGTGTAAAAAATACTTGCAGTTTAAAAAGTGCTTTCAAAATGGCAATATTAACAGATCTATTTAAAGAAATTAGGGTCAAAAAAAGCTTACACAACATTTAGATCTCCGCAACTGACATATAAAAAAAATTGAATTGGGACTTAAAAAGTAGCTAATATTATTGATAAGATGTGTACAAAAGCTTACTTATAAATCTCAAACGTTTTCTGAGATATTGTTAAAAAACAAAAAAAAACAATCATTTTTTGACACCCTGTATCTCGAAAACGGTGCGTTTGTGGACACATGTTAATAGGACATTTTTTTCCTGTAATTAGTCAAGGAATCACATACTTCATTTTTGGACACATGTTTTGAAACACCCTGTATTCTAGGAAAGTTGAGGGAGAAATTAAAAGAAAAAAAAAGATAGCCACCTAGTACTTACAAAGTAGTAGGATTTCTAAAAGTGATATGTCACGATCGTGTCGACAAACGTTTCTTTTCAGGAAATGTTTATAGTAGGTACTTAGGGGCGTAGAAGCGGGGGGCGGATGACAATGCCCACCCAAATGATAAGGGGAGGTTACTTGATATTAAATGTACCCTCAAAATTCTTTGAAAAAATCTACCAATAAGACAAGTCGTGTACCGTCTACGTTATTCTTACCCAGCAAGCACAAACATCCTCAGGACGTCCTTGGACCAGCCTAAATGTCCCAGAATGGGATGATCCTATAAGGACTTCCTGAGGACGTCCATAGGTTGACCTTATCGGACATAAGATCTTTTTTAGGTACCATTTTGGGATATCCTAGGAACGTCATTTAAGGATGTCGTTAGGACCTAATAATATCCTAATTAAAGCCTAAAATGGGCTGATCATAGGACTAATCCCAGAGACATCCTCAGAATGTCCCGTTAGGTTTTGGTAAACATTTGGTATGCACATTTTTCTATAAGAATATTTTATCCATATAATTAATAATACCTACATTTTTTACATAACTTATTTTGCATAGACACATCTTAAAAATGTCAATCATTATAATTATAATATTATATTATATAGATTTTTTTAAGTTTATAAACGACTTGCATACTATATTTTTTCTACGACAATCACAAAAATTAAATAACTTTCAACAATTATATAAATAATTATTTATAAAATCTGACATCGACCAGTCTATTCTAACCTCACTTTTAGACCCTTTATTTTGATGGTCATTGTTTCGCAGTTGACAACTGCAATTAACTTCAACCCATGACTAAAAAGTCTGAATGCCATTGCTGCCAACTTCAGCCCGTGACTAAAACGCCATAAAACCACAACTTGTCAATGTGTATTTAAAATATCATGGAAACATGTACCTACGATAATCGGCGTTTTAAAGGCGGGAGTTTAAAAACAATATTATATTTTGTGTATTTGTTATATGACCACAAAATATATTTTGTATACAACTGGATAGCAGCCAACTTAATACGAATGCGCAGAAATGACGGCTGGTAATTAATAATTGTTCAAACACCTTGTTTGTAAGGTATTGATACATTTAGAGTTTTATAAATAATAAATAAGGTAGTAAGCGTCAGTTAACCTTAAAAATGTAATTACAAACGCAATCTATAACTTATTTAATAGTTTGTGTTACCGATTGTTTTAAATTTGCCGCCATACATTATGGTGGTAACCGTTGTCTATGGTGGTAACACTGGATGGAGAGAAAGCTAAGATGACGTATAGCGTCCTTTAGTTGTTTGACGCCTTTTTATTAGAAATAATCATAGATAACACTGTGAAAGGAATTCTTTGTGCCGTGAATTCTTTTTCTGTGTCCTGAACCTGGTTTAAGGCCGTGAATCTCGTGTTCTCCAAGTGTGTTTGTTATAATATAATGATAATATAGTGTTGGATATTTCAACAACAATCAGTAAGTTCCAGTGCTTATTAATTGTTTATTTTTAAGTTTAGGGTAGTTATGCTATAATAATTTTTTGTTCCATATTAAGTTGTCTTTTCATTTAATAAAATGTTATTTTTGTAATTACTTCAGAAACCTGATGTTCAATTGTTATTCTGTCTTAACCATTTTAATCAGAAGAAAAAATGCCACTAATTTGCTAATTTAACTAACTTTGAGCTGCAATAATAATGGAGTTAAAATGGTGAGCAGATAACTTTGGACACTGTGTATATATAAATAATATAACTATTATATTTATTTAGAATTATTATTTATTTTAATTTTATAATAGGTGTTTTATTTTTATTTTATTTTATATAATTGGCTGTGTAAAATTATATATATGTATACAGAATTAGAATAATATATTTTATAAAGTAATAAAATGGTATTTGATTGTTTAAAATGTATCCCTAACAAATAACAAGGCCATTCAGAGGATGTCCTCAGGACATCCCATTCCTGGACCTACATATACCCATGGGACTTTCAGGGGACATCCTTAGGATGTCCTATTCCTGGA